GCAGGTGGCATCTTATTTCCTTGGCCAGGTCAGCTCAGTTGCAGCGAATGAATACCAAGGTGACACATAACACTCGGATGCATTGGGAAAAGCAGAAAGCACGGATGCACTTGGGAAAGACAAGGAAACTGAATGGAGTCACTGGAGGTAACAAGAGAAGTCCTAGTTTTTAATGCTACAAAACTGAATTCAAACCACAGCATTTCCTATGCCGACGAGGATGGGATTCGAACCCACGCGTGCAGAACACAATGGATTAGCAGTCCATCGCCTTAACCACTCGGCCACCTCGTCTGCAGACAGACAACTGGGTGTCTCTTCTCTGGGGCCTGAACTCTTATTCCTGCCTGTGGGGCTCGCCTCTAGTGAAGTCTGCACGAGAGGAAGATTTTAGGGGAAACCATTCAGCACTGGAAAGAAGACTCGCAAATCGGAAACGGATCTTCTCCCCTGCGTGATTGCCCGACCCTCCTCCCTCTGCTGAGCGGTCTGGAACTCTTCTTGTTCCCAGGAGCCGCGGTATCCATCCAGAATTAAGGTACCCGGATCCATCGCGAAAATCCCCGCGAGACAGTTGTGCTGCCCAGACTGCGCGGCCTAGAAACGTGGTGCCAGAAGCCCCTCCGCTTCAGGCCCCAAAGAGATTGCTCCTTCTCTGACTTGATCGCCAAAGGTCGACTGTAGCTTAATATAAAGGGAGTTCAACAAGAGAAGGAAAAAGATCCCCACTGACCCCGACGTGATTTGAACACGCAACCTTCTGATCTGGAGTCAGACGCGCTACCGTTGCGCCACGAGGTCCGCCGGCCGCATAGTTGCTCAGTTCTCCCTATGACCACTGTACGGCCAGGAGGCCAGGGTCTGGTAATCGAGGCACGGTTGGGCACCTAGGAAATTTCTGCCCCTCTGAACACCTGCGGGGTCGTATCTGCTCTCGCCGAGCGGCCCTGTAGGACGAGTGGGGCGGGTGGCACCCCAGGGCAGTGACTATGGGATCCCGGCTCAGCGGTCTGTCCCGCCCAGCCCCCAGCGTCATGCCAACGCCCAGAAAGAGGGTCCCGAGCTGATCACCAGGGGAACCCAAAGCTCACAGCCCAGCGGTAACGGACCTGCCTAGAAACGGTTGGAAGGATAGGAACCAGACGGAACATGATGGAGCAGTGCCAGAGCCTCGGGCACCTGAAGGGGTGAGAGATTCGCTCCCCCAGCAGCAGGTCTCCTCACCGGTTGCACTTTTACAATCGCCTGCGGAGCCTTCGAATGCAGGCACGCACAACCCCCGGGTTCAGCGACTCTGATTTAAACGGTCCAAAGAAGAGCTCTGACATCGGTATGTAAAATTTTGAAAAATATCGGTATTTCAACTGTTTGAGGGCACATAAATCTTGTATATATTTTGATGAGTTTTGATAAATATATAAGCCTGCGTAACTCACAATTCTTTAAAAATATATGACGTTTCCATCACTCAACGTTCTTGCATGGCCCTTCTCTACGGATCCCCACTCCTTCTTTCCCAGAAGCAATCTCTGTTCTAATTTTTTCTGTTTTTGTGAATCGGAGTCTTGCTCTGTCACCCAGGCTGCAGTGCAGTGGTGGGATCTCAGCTCACTGCAAACTCCGCCTCCCCGGTTCAAGCGATTCTTCTGCCTCAGTCTTCTGAATAGCTGGGACTACAAGCCCGCACCACCACACCCGACTAATTTTTGTATTTTTAGTGGACACGGGGGTGGTGGGATGGTGGTGGTGGTGTTCAGCATGTTGGTCAGGCTGGTCTCCAACTCCTGACCTCGTGATCTGCCCGCCTCTGCCTCACAAATTGCTGGTATTACAGACAGACATGAGCCACTGCACCTGGCTTCTATTCTAATTTTGACCACCATAACCATCGGTGGTTTTTTTTTTTCTTTTCTTTTCTTTTTTTTTTTTTGAGACGG